AACAGATTCCACCAGCTTTGCTTGATCGTTTTCCGCCTGAATAAATTTCAAATAACGAGAAGAAAGCGGAACCTGGCGTCCGAAGCATCCAGCGACGTTTTCCTCGGTCTCGGCCAAATGAGAGAGAGCACGAGCTAACGCGGTTGATTCCTCGCAAGACGCGAGCATCGAGACGGCCTACGGAACTTGTTAAAAACGTAAAAATCAATGCCTACCTTAGAAAGACTTTCGCAAGAGCCGTGCAGCTCCTTCCGTTGCTGGTGCAAGTTTTCGGCCAGAGACAGCAATTTGCGGAGAAGTTCTTCGAGCTCCTCGACATGCGATTGGGTCTGCTCGGACAAGCGATCGCCCTCCTCCATGTGGAAAGCTATTTTCGTGAAAGCCTAAAACAAATTATTCTTTCTCGAGCTCAAACAGCAAACCTCGCTGACACTCTTGAAAAAGACGCTTGACTCCGGCGGACGAAAGAGTGGCAGTATTGCTGGCCTTCGGCAATTCGCTGTTCATCGTCAGGAAGTCCCGGACGTCACAATCGGTTCGCATTTTTGGGTGCTAAAAAGACTATTTGGCGATGACAAGAAAACTATTACCTGAACGACACGAAGCAGGAACCGCTGCAATTGTCGTGACCGCTCCGTTCCGATGTTGTTGTTAATCGACTGATCGTTGTTCCCAGACTTTGTCCTAAAAATGCGGGATAATGTCTAACAAAAATCGCTTACTTTGTCATAGCAGCCAGGCTTTTCTCCGGGGGACTCGGAACAACGATTCCACGGCGTAGGAATTTGTCGACAAGCTTCTCATGCAGCCCGAGGAAGTCTGAGAAGCGCCGCCAGACCTGAAAAAAAGTGTTAAAATTATGAAAGAAAGAAAACCTCATGGGTACGGTCAGAGATGCCGGGAACATTGCGGGCCTCGGTCAAGATCTTGTAAACGAGGTACGCGTTGATTCCCTCGCCACGCTTCTCGAAATGGTCAATCTATAAAAAGGTATATAACCTCGAAAATTGCGCTCACCGTGATAGTAAGAGTCCAGTCCTTCTCGTAAACGCGTGGGCTGCTGCCGGAGGATGATGACGACGAATTGGCAGTTTCATTGACTTTTTGCGACAGCTTGCACCGGGCTGACGTGAGAGTCGTCCAAGCGCAGTTTTGAGCTCGTCATATGCTCGTCATCGTCGTCGTCCAGCAACAAGTCGGTGAGCTGAAGAAAACAGTTTCAAAGAGCCTTTTCAGGAATACCGGTTCCTGAGTCGATGGCGCTTGAAGGGGTGGCGAATCGAAGCGATCACCATTGGGGTGGTTGTCATCGGCATCAAGCATTTCCCCTGGAAATTCTGGGCTATAATGGGGTGCTGCTTTCCAAACAGCCGTGCACGGATCACAGGGAAATCAATGGAAATCGATGACGAACAAGCCGCGTTGTGAAACCGGGAAACAAGCCAAAAGCGGGCAATTCGTAATAAGCGTCAGAGCGGAATTTGAAGTTCCATCAATTGAACCTGCGCTTGACTTTAGTAATCGAAGAGTTAAATGAAAAGACGATTGGTTTTCTAGCTATCGATTGGGAGGTCAAAACACCTGAACTCTCTATAAAAACGAGTGGAAAACACTTTTCAAGGTTTATTTTATCTAAACCAGGCAAAAACATTGATTCAGAACGGAATTTTGATTATGAAACCGCTTCGGCAAGCCTTCGAGCGGATCTAGAGGGAATTCGCTAAGCGGCGCGACAACAATAGTAATATTAAGATATTAAGTAAGATTATAAAGTTAAAAATAAGCGTTTTCTGAATGTCAACGATCTATAAGGGTCGCTTTTACTGTTTATAAAAGCCGTTCATAGCTTTGTCAAGTCAAAGAGAACCGTTCATCCCCCGGGGCACGCTTTAGGCCACCGCCCGATTTGGCCATGCAAACGCCCACTCACAGCTCGTCCACGACAGCTGCAAAATGCGAATCGCGTTTCTAATCTTGCTACTAGCTGTTGGATTGACAGCTCTATCAAAATCAGACCGGAAAACAAGGCAAAAGGAGAAGGAGCCTGAGCCGGAACCCGAAAAGGAAAAGGCTCGCTCAACGGGGAATGAGCACGGAGGGATTGAGGTAGGTATTTTGGAAGCTTTTGAACTTTTTTTTAGACCGAACCCCTCGAATTTCCGGCCGCGAAGGTGACGAAAGAGAATATTCTCAAGAATGAGCAATTCGTAGATGCGAAAGAACGAAAATTCACCGGAGCATCGCTTGCCTACATCACCCCGGTTAGTAAAAATAAGCTTGAAGAGTCAATTCTTTTTTAGTGGAACAATCGAGGATATGATCTCGCGAAATGGGCGGCCAATAAGTTCACGCATATCTCGCCGGTTTGGCTGCAATTCAAGCCGCAAACAGCCGACATGGCGGCCAGCTGCCGGATCGAGGGCACGCACGACATTGATCGAGATAAGCAGCTATATTTAAAAAAGTAATATACTTTAGGCTGGATGGCCGATATTCGAAAGAACAACAGCGCGATCAAATTCGTGCCGCGAATTCTGTTCGACCAGTGGCACGTCGACGAGTTGAAGCAGTTCCTATTGAGCGAGACGTGGAGCCAGCGATGCTTGAATGATTTGCTCAACTTTTTGCAGGTAATGTAGTTATTTTCCAAATTGTCGCCATCCCGTTTTAAACTTAAATTCGTGACGGGTTCTTTCGCATTACCCGGGGCAATTTTGTTTCTTAGGGTGCAATTTTTTAGCTATTAATAGCGTAGGAACATTGTAAAAAATTTTTATTACGAAAAATATGGCTTTTTCGACAAACAATAGCCGTTTTTGGCCGAAATTTCGACTTTTTGAAAAATTTTCCAAGGTTTTTAGATAGCTTTTCTAGCTGAAATAGAGTTTCCTTTTAATAAAAACATTATTAAATCACTTCCGATTATTTTTTTTTGCATTTCTAGACTAAAAGAAAGAAATTTGTTCCCCCCAATAATGCCAAAGAACCTCGTTAATGTTCGTTTTTTTATGCTTCTGAGATAAACCAATCATAGCAAGGATAAAAATGTGTTCAGCGAAACCAATTTGACGGAGCGGCCGTCGAACTGTGGATGCAGGCGCTGAGCGTGGGCCGTGAAGCACCGGGGTACCTAATTCTGGCTACGTTCAGTCTTTAGTTTAGGTACCTAACCGAGCTGTTCAACAAGTGGGGCGAGGAGTTCCACGAGCGCAATATGCAACTCATCGTCCCCGTTGGCGCCCCGTTGAGCAACAAAATGTACGAGATCCTTGAGATTTTAAAGAGTTGCACAGGGAAATGACCGGCATCTTCACGCCCGACATGTTCAAGATGATGCCGAATGTTGATTATGTTCAGGTAATACCTTTATCTTTTTAAATGTTATCGGAACTTTAGGTTATGACATACGATTACCACGGCACCATCGGAGTCGCGCCCTATCCATGGGTGGAAAATACGATCCGGCTTTTGGTTGAGGTAGTTGTTGCACGTTTGCTCTCTAATGTGATTCTTAGAATGTACCAGAACGGGCGAAGGATCTGATGATCGGACTAAACCATTACGGATACCTCTACAACGATCAGCAGATGGATCCGGTGCAGAGAGAACGGTATGCCAACATTTAAAAAAAAAATTGGTTTTTTCGCCTTATCGGGGGACCAAACTTTTTTGTGTAAGTCTAGAAATGTCTGGTAACTGGATCCGAAGTATTTTTTAATGCTTTTAGTAAAATATAACTTTATTCAACTAGAAAACTATGGAAAGACTTTAAAAATTTTTGGGAAAGGCCAAATTTTGGTAAAAACCGGTCTTCTTTGCTCAAAAATTCAATATTTTGATGTTTTCTGATTAAAACTTCTAAGGTTTTTAGGTGCAGGAATAGAAAGGATTTAGAAACACTTCCTCTATTTACAAAATTGGATCCTATTTCACCTGAAAAACTATCTAAAATTTCAAAAGTCAAAGTTTTGGTCAAAACCGGCCATTTTTGGTCGAAAAATCGCTATTTTTTTTATGTTTTACATAAAAAGTGTAGTTTTTACGTGTAGGAATAGTAAAAAACACGGTTTTGAAACACCTTCGCTAATTATTGGAAAGATTGGAGCCTAAGAAAAAAGTGGTCCCCCCCGATAATGCGAAAGAACCAAACATCTACATTTCCCTAGATTCCTTGAAAAGTTGAAGGAGAAGAATGCCCGATTGGAATGGGACGATATTGTCAAGGAGCATCGGCTTATCACCAGGTTCAACAGTTTTTCCTAATAATAGCAAATATTTAGTGAGGGACGTATCTATTACCCGAGCCTGACCAGCGTTGAGTCGAGGATCAAGCTGGCCAAGGCCTACGACGTCGGCATCGCCATTTGGGAGCTGGGGCAGGGGCTCAACTATTTTACACAGGTTTTGTAAGGGTTTTTTGATAGTCGCGCCGTATTTTTCTGATTTTGTTGTTGATTTTCGCTTCATCAAGGTTTACTCTCCTCCGGGTTTTTATTTAATTTATTCGCTGTGATGATCGTCTTCGTCAAGGTTTTCAGGTTCTGGACTGGTAGTGGGGGGGGTTTATCAGGGGAAAAATTTTGGTTTTTTCACCTACCTGTTGATAATATTTAATGTATTTTTATAGTTTTTCGTGGTTTTTGATTGCCGGAAAGTTATTAAAATACTTATAACTGTCTAGTAAGCAAAAACACTACATTTTGAAATTCGAAATTTTCGATTTTTTTGCTGCTTTTCATACATTTTTATGACCGTTTCTGTATTGTTTTTAGATCTAAAAACTATCGGAATGGTAAAAAAATTAATATTGCTGCTAAAAATTAGACCCCCCCCGCTAACAATCCAGAACCGTCCTTCATTCCCATAAATCAAGGCCATAAATCAGTTTATCAGGGTTAACAGACATTTCAAAAACGATAAAAAAAAACAAATACCCAGTGGTCACTGATCGCAGCGAGATTTCTAGCGTACTAGCTCGACTAGAGGTTCATCATGGTTTATTTGGATTGGAAGCTGGAGGCCGACTGGGAGAATGATGTGCCCAAAAGGCTTCTGGCCGTCGAGTGGGGTGGTGAGACGGGAATCGCGCTTTCGCCAGACGGCTTTATGGCCTTCGGGGCGTTCTAAAATGCGTGGTAGAAGGAGGCATGCGTGTTTTAGGATCACCTTATGATCGCCAAGCATTTGCCGCTGGACGAGGGTGGCGTATGTGCCAGGTTGGCGAAGAAGCTCTTCGTGCGTTCCTTGTTGCTCCACGACACCCTGAGAAAACGTGAAAAATGTTGAAGCTAGTTCTTTTACAATTAAAAGAATCATAAAAACGGAAAATTATCGATTTTCGGCCGCATTTTAGCGTTTTCAAAAGATCACAAATTTTCGAATTTCAACAACGTTTAAGCAAATTTTTCAACAAATTGCTTTTTTTCTTAAAGCTTGAATTTCGTTGTTGTCTAATTTAAATCTGGCTTCAAGCTAAACTTGAAGCTTCAAAACCAGCAAAAATTTTTGTTACTTTCTAGCAACCAAAGCCTGCGAAAAACATTCTAAAAATACCTCTTTATTGTCTAAAAAAGTAGGCATAAACAGAAAACCGAAAAATTAGTTTTCCCCCTGCTAACAGTCCAGTACCAAGTTTTCCAAATAGCTTTTAATCTGGGGCATAACTAAATTATAATAAAACGCTATCAAAATCCGTCCGTTTTTACAGGCTTATTCCTTTTTTTTTGCAAAACATTACCTTATTGATGACAATAATCTTATCAGCCTTCTCCACAGTCGACAGTCGATGCGCAATCATGATCACCGTCTTTCCTTCCAAATTCTTTGAGATGGCTGAAATTTTCGTGGGTATACTAATTAAAACGAATGAAATTTAATTGAAATTCTACTAATAAAAATTATGCTCGGATAACCGACCCTCCTGGACGACAGACTCGCTCTCTGTATCCAGCGCTGACGTCGCTTCATCGAGGAGCAGAATGGCCGGCTGCCGGACGAGCGCCCTCGCAATGGCAATTCGCTGTTTTTGACCTCCTAAATCCGATAAGACATTTTGTTGCCATTTTTTTGAACGAACCGGACATCTGGCTGCCCTTCTCGCCGACGTTGGTCTGGTACTGCTGCGTCGTTTGAACGATGAAGCCGTGGGCGTTGGCCATTTGGGACGAGGTGACGACGTCTTGCTCAGTCACCTAAGTTTTCATTTGAAAAGTACTAGATTCTTTGGTATTATCGGGGGGGGGGGGGAGAAAATTTTTTCTTAGGATGCCATTTTTAAATATAAATAGCGGTAGTGTTTCTTCATTGTTTTTTTATTCCGAAACGTAAAAACTTTAAACAATTTTGCTAAACAATACAAAAAAAGTGATTTTTCGACCAAAATTGCTTCGTCGAAAATTTTTTAGATAAATTAGATTATTTAGTTTTTAGAAAGCTTTTAGCTAGTTTCTGGTTCAAAAAATTCATTTAAATTCTTTTCCAATTTAATTTTTGAACTTTTTCAAGTCGCTGTGCTTTATGTTTTTTTTAAATTTTTTTACCTCACACCCATAAGCAATATTCTCGGCCACAGATCGAGCAAAGAGGATTGGCTCCTGGCCGACAAGGGCAATCTAAAGCAATCTTCATAATCGGAAAAAAGTCGTGCCTTTTGGTGGATGTAGTGGTGTTCATATTCGTCAATTGGCACGCCGTCGATAAGGATCTAAATTTTGTAGTTGAATTTTTTATTTTTGTTTTTTAAACCTGTCCAGCATTTGCCAAATAGAAATTCTCCAAAAGGGCGATGCACGAGGATTTTCCACTACCAGACGGGCCAACCAGGGCCACCGTTTGTCCAACTTCGGCGGTGAACGAGAGGTCCTTAATAGATTAAAATCAGATACATTATAGAGTTTAAAAAATTTAAATAGAAAATTTACAGAATCATTTATAAGGGCTTTTTTAGTTTCAAAAACATACACGCAAAATCGGCAGTTGAGGCCGAGTCGGGTAGGCAAAGTGGACATTCTTGAATTCGATTTTGCCCCTAAAGGAAATAGAGATAAAAACCAAAACTAAAAACAGTAAATAAATAAAAACTGACGCCAATCGTTCGGGCTTCAGCTTGCCGTGATGTTGGATGGTCGGCTCGCGGTCGATGTATTCAAATACCTGAAATTTCAAGAGTGTACAACAGAATTAAATATTGCTTATTCCCATGCAAAAATATTGTCTTCTGTATATAAAATAAGAAAAGTTACACAATCTCTAAAAAATCTCCATTAAAATCATGTTTTTCCAGATTTTTGTTATACACACCTTCCTCGAGGCTCCAACCGACTGCATAAGCCCCGTCCACACTTCTCCCATCTGCCTCAGATTGTCGGCCATTTGCATTTGGTAGAGCAGGAACGAGACGAGGAGGTCAGACTAAAAAATGGTTGCCAAAAAAAACAATTTCCACCTTGAGCCTGCCAACGAGCACCAAATGACCGCCATACCAAAGGACAGCGACGACGATGAACGTTTGGAAGAGCTAAAGATTCGTTTTATATGTAGAAAAAAAAGAGTAAAAATACCTCAGAGACCCATAAAAAGCCAACATACGCAATGGCCTTTGTTCTGGTCACGTTTAGTGTGTCTGTCAGCCGTTGGTAGAACCTGAATGAAAAATTAATTTTTCATTTCACTATTTTTAGCCGATGTGTGAGATGATAAAGATTCAATTATTTTTTTGATGCTTTTATACACCTGAGAGTTTATATAATTTTTTAATAACCTACCGGTCTCCTTCATAATTTTCACAAGCAAACGATCTAACGGTGCGCATGGTGGAAATCACTTCCTCGGCCACATCGTTCGATTGTGCGACGTTATTCTGCGTCTTCTCGGAGAGGTACTAGAATTTTGGCTAAACCCCCTGGATACCAAAACCCACGTCATAATACGTTCCGAAAATCTTGGACGCCACAAAGATGATCGGGACGAGGATGAAGGTGATGAGCGAGAGACGCCAGGAGAGCGTCATCATGAAAAGCATCGAGCCGACCAGGCACACCACGTTTCTGAAGCGATTAGAAAATGTTTAAAAACCTCGAAATTTCTGTAATTTTGCGCTAAAAACCGAATTTTCGACCTAAATTAAAATATTTTATCACAACCGCGAACCCTAAAAGAACCTTTTTTCGAACATACCGCAGGAAGACGTTGACGTTCATCGCCACAGTATCTGACATCGTTTGGCAATCAGAGGCCAAGCGCGACGCGATCTCACCTAAAACGAGCCTGGAAAATCGAGCTTAATCTCACCAGTTTTGTGCGCATCGAAAAAGGCGACATCCTGCTTGACCAATGCCCAGAATAAGTCGTATCGCACGGAACGGGCCACTCGTGAGTAGGCGTATTCGAAAGAGCCGCCACGGAATCCGGCGCAAACACCGCTAAATTCAGAAAGATAAAAAAGCAATTATGCATACCTGACGAGTGAAATAACAGTCATCGTATAAACGGCCTGATGGAGATTGTCATACGATTTCGTCTCGACGACAGTTGCGATAACTTGTCCCGTGTAGTATGGAATAAAGATGCGGGCTAAACATCGTAATTAGGGTTGAACCAGAATCGCAGTAAAAATGATGAGAATGATGGTACATAAAAATTTTCTACAACTCTAGAAAGGCCTAGTAATTTAATAGGAAGTATTTTACTACTGTTTTAGTGACATAAAACTATATTTGAACTAGAAAAACTTTCAAAAGTTTTCAACAAGTCGACATTTCGGTCAAAAACCGCCATTTTCGGTCGAAAAAGCGATCTTTAATGAATGCAAATTTGTAGAATTTTTACTTCTTTGTAGAAAAAAAACAGTTTTGAAAACCCATCAGCTATTTATATTTAAAAAAGCTAGATACTAAGAAAAAAATTATCCCCCCCGCCACCGATAATGTGAAAGAACTGGAACCGCACTTACTAACTGAATACACAAACAGGAACGTGAATCCAGACAAATGCCACAGCCACTCCTTCTTGCAATACTGCAACAAGCGCAGCATCAGCTCGGCCGTCTGTTTCGGTGCAATTTCTCCATTTTCCTAAAGATTTTGTCTTTCTTTTTAGCCCGAAAATACATCAAATTCGTCCATAACCACGTAGGAGGAGGGCGTGTGCGCAAAGTAGGTTCTCCACGAAACATCCAGGATAAAGGTGCCAACGAACGACCAAACAAGGGCCAGAATGTCCCCGAAGGGGAGGACTTCACCTAAATAGTTCGCTAGCCGTATTTTTTCAGTGAGATACCATCCTTCAGCGGCTCGGCGAGGAGTAACAGCTTCGTCGGCGACGCCGCGTACATGAGAATGCAGGCCGAGTTTGAGACGGAATGCCAAGTGGCTAGCGAAGAACTTCTAAGCAAATTTTTCGCGCGCTCCTCCAGCCACCCACCTTCCACCATACGCTAGACATGCTGGCGCGTAGAAAAAGAAGGACCGCGCGACGGCTAGCAGTAGGAAATCAGCCGTCGATGTGAAAGGCGAATAATTTCCAATCTAAACCACGCCATGCTCTTCAAAATATCGAAAAAACCAGCAACCTGTTGGTAGAGTGAATCGATTGACAGCGGTCCTGCGTGGAGACATGTCGCTAGGATTGTTATCTAAATAAACGAGATTCCAAGGTATATAAATACTCACCGTAAAGTCTAAAATCGAGAGCACCACCCCGACGGCAAGCCGGCTGTTGGCCGTCGCCATCTTTTACCCGAGCCTAGGATTAATAGAAGCGAAAGGCAATGGAAAACGAGTTTTAGAGCAGTTCCCAGAAAAATTACTAAAAAGTTCTGCGTTTTTTGTGGAATATTCTTCCCAAAAAGCCAGTCGATTCGATAAGGCGACGGGGGAGTCGCGGCCGAAATTAGGAAGATAGGCTTCTTCGCACCAAGATAACAGCGGCCACTCGGCGCATTCGCGCGGTCGGCTCCTGAATTTTGAACCTGCGGGTTTTAGAGCATATTTCGGGTGGTATGTTCATCCTGTTGGGCAAGCCAACGTTCGGAAATTTTTATTCAAACAACAAAAAACTGTGCATAATCCTGTCACCTCTAGAAAGATTTACATTCGTAAAAAAGCAATCGATTTGCGTTTTTCATTGGGCTGGCTCCTGCTGATCTTGCTGCTCTGGTTCCTGCGCCTCGTCGAGCCACTGGTTGACGCGCTGCTTGACTGTAGTAAAACTATCTTCATCATCGGGCTGGCGAATCTCCTAGATCGGTAATTATCATGAAGAATCGAGGATCCCTACCACTTTTTTACCATTCCTTTCAAGATCCGCCACATCAGCTGTTACATCCTCCGATGGCTCGGTCTGAGAAAGGGAACTCCAGTTCAATGATAAAATTACCTTATTGATAGATTTCATGCCGGGCACAAGCGGAGCAGGTTGAAGATTTGGGATATAGAAGGTTGCTAAAAACTACCTAACTTCTTAAACGATGAGAAACAACCTTCATCAGTTCCGGACGAATTGTTCACAAAGGTCTGATAAAACTGACGATCCCGGTATGCTGCGAGTGCTCGTTGCGCATCTTCCAACACTCCATCTTGGCTTAGTTTCTCGACAAGAGTCTTCGCCAGCTAAATGTGTAGAAAACAATGATTGGCTTGATTTACTTTTATGGTCCCCGTCCGAAAAGTGGTTTTTCGTGTCGGAATCGATAGAGAACTGTTGGAAATGTGGTTTACAGTCGAAAAAAAGGGTCGGAAAGATGCTTTTAATACGAAATAAGCAGCTTTTTACGAAAATTTGAGGACCATAAAATGGGGTACGGGGGACTGAAGTTTATGGTTCTCGGCCGAAAACCAATTTTTCTTGTCGGAAACTATCCAGAAAAGTTCAAAATATCATTTGTAGTTCAAAAAAATCGTCGGAAAGACCTTTATTAGCTTCAAAAAATATTTTGTTACAAAAATTCATTCAGCCCAATTTTAGCCTAAAAATAAGGCTTCGTGCCACCCGGGGCCTAGTCGCTTCGGATGGGTGCGAGCTCGTACAGGGTTTCGAAATCGGGGCGCCCGAGCAGCGCGCAGCGCCCAGGCGCCTCGATTTCGGAAGAGTGGAGCGGCAGCCCATCCGAAGCGACGGCCCGCCTTGCTTGACAATGCTACGTACCGCACGCTGTTCAGAAGCCTGAGGGGACCAAGAACATCTTTCCGGCACTTTTTTTTCGATTTACTATGCATTTCCAACGATAATCTATTGAGTTAGTAAAAGAAAAAACGTTTTTCAGGTGAGGACCATAAACTTCAGGCCCCCGTACCCCCCTTTATGGTCCTCAAATTTTCGTGAAAAAACTGATTTTCTCCCAAAAAAATTTCTTTCCGACGATTTTTTTGAACGGCAAACAATATTTTGAACATTTCTGGATGGTTTCCGACAAGAAAAATTGGTTTTCGGCCGAGAACCATAAACTTCAGTCCCCCGTACCCCATTTTATGGTCCTCAAATTTTCGTAAAAAGCTGCTTATTTCGTATTAAAAGCATCTTTCCGACCTTTTTTTTCGACTGTAAACCACATTTCGAACAGTTCTCTATCGATTCCGACACGAAAAACCACTTTTCGGACGGGGACCATAAAAGTAAATTTTCCCCAATGATTAAACCTAGATCTCAAAACCACCTTTTCGGACTGAGTCTGCAAGATTTTCGCCAGTCTATCTTGTTTCCGCTGGACATGCTGGATTCGTTCCTCAAAACGTGGGAGTTTTGTTGAAAGGAATGAGTACCAGAATTTGATCGGCATCAGCAAGTTCGGCCATCAAACGTCAGTTCCGGCACAAATTTGAGAGATTCGGTGAAAAATCGAAAAGAATTTTTGGATTTTTTTCAAACCGATGCTATGAAGGCTACAAACAACGGCAGAGCGGAATCGAGACGGAAGGTAGCGTACTAGCCCAATTCGCAATAGAAATTTCGCGTAAAAAGTTGAAGCTCTTTTCTAGTATACTTTTTTGGTATTGTTACTTTGTAACACTTTTCAAACATATTTGAAAAGTATTTTTCTGAAATGCCAAAATAATGGTTTTTTAGTGCTTGAAAAGCTTTGATCAGTGATGACAAATGAACAGCTTTTTTAGGGTTTGGAAAGTATTTATCAGTAATGCGTAATATCAGTGTGCAAGTAAGTGGTTCTGTTGGTTCAAGTATCGTCGAGCTTCGCCCTCTTCACTCCATATGCGGAACGTAGGCGGTTCGTGGCATGGCGGCCTGCTTCTCGTAGTAGCCCCCCCTTGCCATCCAAGCTGCCGGTGTCCGACTCGTAGCTGAAAGGTTCTTTTAGACAAGATCCCGCGGCTGGATTTACCCAGAATCGTATCCCTGGGCAATGTCGAGGTTGTGCTTCGGGTCTCTCGTCTCGAAGCGGCCGTGGTTGGAGCGGGAGCGCTTGCTGTAGGGTAATGTACGCAGAATTTTCTGGGCACGTACCGGGATTTGCTGACGCTCCTGCTACGGCTACGGCTGCGGCTCCGAGTGACCGATCGGGAGCGGCGGGCGCTAGGCAGGGCCCAGGTGACCGATTTGCGCGCCAACTCATCAGCCTGAAGCAATGGAAGGTTAGCACTTTTTCGGGTCTTGATGGTGGTGCTAATTTTGGCCTATCTCTCGTACGGTCGTAGTAATATTACAATTTGCATAAATGTTGATCCTACTATATATAAAAAAATAGTGTTTGTGTGTTTGTGTGTGGACACTTTGCATAAATGGCTCGAAAAAACCGGGTTACCAAGATATCGGGCAGGGGGAAGAATTTTGGGACCGGGTCGAGAGGTATTTAGGGGTGGTCGAGGGCATAGATTACTGCAAGCTTATCAGATTTTTAATAAAATGACGATTTATACCTTATTTTAGCTATTTTAAAACATATGGAAACATCCTCATTTGCATACGAGGCGCTAGGAGGCTCATTTCGAATTTTGTCGCGCTAGCGGCCGGTCGCTTTTACCGTTTTCGGGTTCACTCTCGCTCTTCGCTCGAATTATGCAAAGTGCCCAAGTTTGAGAGTTCCGTGCGCGAAGGCCAGAGGTGAAAAGCCGCGTAGCGGCTTTTCAACCCTGGTTTTTTGCTAAAAACGTAGCAAAATGGTCAACAAATTCGGTTCTTTCGCTTTGACGGGGGAAGGAGAACAAAATTTTTTTGTCTCGAAGTGCCTAGTGTCTTAATAGGAAGTGTTTTGGCACTTATCAAGTTCGGGGGGGGCCACTTTGGTTTTCGACTTTTTTATTCTTTCTGGGCTAGTTTTTTGTGCTGGTTCCGAATAGAACAAAATCAGAGTAGTAAAACACAATTATCTAAACGTTCTAAGATTTAGAGATGCTTACACCCAATTTGAGCCTAAAAATAAGGCTTCGTGCCACCCGGGGCCTAGTCGCTTCGGATGGGTGCGAGCTCGTACAGGGTTTCGAAATCGGGGCGCCCGAGCAGCGCGAAGCGCCCAGGCGCTCCGATTTCGGAAGAGTGGAGCGGCAGCCCATCCGAAGCGACGGCCCACCTTGCCTGACAATGCGGCAAGCCTAAATTTGTGCATAAGTACACCTTTATTAATAAATTTTTACACTGTTTTTCTGGATAAACCCAACCGTTTCGCATGCTGTTGCGACTCTATTCGCACTCAGCGTAAAAAACTACCCCAGAAATAGTCGAAAAACTGATTAAAAAAGTGTCTCCTAATAGGTACCCAAAGTGGCCCCCCCCCCAACTTGATAAGTACCAGTGTTTTAATAATGTTTTGAGTAGAATAAAACTATGTTTGTGTTAAAAAAACTATCTAAAAAATTTAAAAAGGCGTAATTCTGACAAACACGGCTGTTTTTGGTAGATAAATCAATTTTTTGGTAATTTTTGATAAAAATGTGGAAATTTTTGGCGTAGAAACACATCCGCTATTTATAATTAAAAAATGGATTGCTAAGAACAAATTCCCCCCCAAGAGTCCAGAGCCGCTTTATCTACCCCTGCCCCACCTTTTCATTGCCCGGATCACCGGCGTGCGCTTTGACGTGCTGGAACTCGACGCCGTGCGGGAAGACGGCAGCGATGCGGCGCAGCTCGTCGTATCTGGCATTGGATGATAATCGCTTGGAAGAAGGGGCCAACTCGTTGGCGAAGCATCGATTTCCTTGCAAGCGCATCGCCGTGATCAGGGCCAGGTAGTCGGTGCGGAGGATGACGAATTCATTGCTAGAAACGGTGAGCTTTGTTGTGAGAGTTTTTGTGTCAAACCGATACTCATCCCAGGCGATCAGCCGGCGGAGGGCCGTCTGGGCGGCGATGATCTCGGCAAGTCCGCTGTTGTGCTCGGTGACGTCGAGGGCTTTCGAGCTGTAGTGGTGATGATAATGGAATAATTTGCGGGGGGTGGGAATATCGAAAATTCAAATATTTTTTGGGACTTTCACTATCAAAAAAAATCAAGACCTACAAAAACGTCATAAAAATACAAATGAAACGACATAATAACTATCTCAAAAATTACAGGTTGAGCGGGTGGCCCTCGCCGAAGAAGATGCCAATTCCGGAAGCACGATGGGAAACACAGCTCCCATCCGTATACACGATGACAGTCTTCGGCGGGAAATCTTCATTGTGCGGTGGCATCTCCCCTTCGGCGAGCGGCGGAAAGCCGAGAATGAAGATGCGTTCAACATTCCGTAAATTGTCTCACCATAACTGCTCCTCGTGTAGCGGATGGGGATGCACGTGCCGATCGAGGTGGTCGAGGTTGACTTTAAAAAAAGTTTTTCTAGAGAATTCCGGAGTACCTTCTCGGAATCGCGTAGGGAGCCGGCGGAGGGGAGGCGGGTGAGGGAGGACGAGGTCGAGTCAGTTGATCGGGTAAATAGTCGGGCGATGCCGTTGAGGAGACGTTGCATTCCGGTCAGTCGGTTAGTCGGTCAATACGTTAGTAGAAATGATTTTTAGGCGGCGATTTCACGTCATATCGACGTATGCAAATATAGACATTCTTTTTCGATTTATCTATTTTTAAGTATGGTGATTTATGATTTAGGTTTATGTAAAGTACATTATTTAGAAAGTAGCATTTCAGCGCGCGTTTGTTTCTTTTCAGAAAATGCTAATATCGACGTTGTAGCCCGTTTTTCAAGCTGCTGCTCAAGCTATATTTTACGGTTATGTATGTCAGGTTTTACAGGAGTTTCCGGAAGCCGGAAGCAAGGAAGGCGGAACTTCCACCTTCCGGGGCAGAAACGCGTTTTTTTAAAGCAATATTTTTGTGGATGTTCTACTTTAGCATTTTTTTAAGGTCTTTGATTATCTAAAACAACGTTTTTAGAAAGATTTTTGTAGTTTTCATCTGTTAAACTTTTTTGAGCCGATTTTTTGATCTCTAAAATGCGCTTGGGTTTTTTCGTTTATAAAGCCGAGAAAAATGTCGCTGAATTTGGGTGTAACGATTCATTTTTATAAGTGCTTTAAAGGATTTTTGAAAGTTTTTTTAGGTTTGAAAATTCATTTTTGACAGGCTTCATTCGACGTATCCTTTTTCCTAAAGCCTATTATTTATATCCAGCCTTAATACCTCTTGGTTTTATTACTATTTTCCTTTTTTTCAGACGAAAGCCGATACAGTACGCTGCATTGCGGAGTGACAGTTCGCGAGTTGGCCGAGAGTTGATGGTGGCTGGAAGTGGGCAGCAACGACGGGATGCGATGGATCGGATTTCCGCCAGACATTGCCCGAGTTGCCCGGTCAATTGGGGGTCTATCTGGCTGCCATCCGGGGGTCATCACAGATACGGAGTGTGCAGGAGTATTGCCCAATTTCGGGTCTGGCTTGTGTTAGCTAAAATAAAAACTAATTTGAAGTTATCAAACCAATAAAACATTTTTGCGTTCTGGACTGTTAGCGGGGGGCTTTATGGTATTTTTCGCAGCTTTTAATTGCTAAATAGTCATAAAAATTAGGTAATCTTATAAAAATGTGACATTTTATTGGCAAAACCAAACATTCTAGAATTTTCATGACCGCTAAAAACCAACAAAATACTAACATTTTTTTAGGCAGTTCTACGTTAAATATTCATTAAAATCGGGACATTTCATAAAATTTTGACTGTTTTAGCAAAATCAGAAGTTTTCTGAAGTTGTAATAGATTTCTTCGGAACTTTCTAGACTTTAATAGGCCGTAATAGCTATACAAATCGTGCGGGAGAATAGGTGGGTGGACCCTATGGGCGATTGACCATAGTCAGATGTGCCCCCCTCCCCCGCTAACAGTCCAGTACCTTTTCGGATATAACAAAATCCATATGACAAGATTTTGAGGTCTTTAACCCGACAAATCCAAGTTTTCGACCTCAATTCGCGGATTGGATGAAATGAGGGGTAGCCCAGAAGAAGCAGAAGTCTGGCGATGAGACATCAATTGCCAGCCTCCGTCGCAATATAAACAATCGAGAGGGCTTGAGGGCAATAGGGGAGATGGAATGAGAAAAACTGTGAGGTATTGGAGGCTTCTCATATGGAAACCCAACAGTGTCGATGAGTCAGCACGCTGAATAAAAAATAATTAAATCCAGAAACGAACGGTGTGCAATTGTCATGACACAGCTGCAAGCTTCTAAGGAAAGTTTTTTTTGTCGGGTTGTAATCGCTTGGAAATTTTGGTGTTAAAGCCGACTTGCAGAGCTTAAGCTTGGGGTTGGGCTCAGGCTTCGCTGGGGTTTGGCTTGGCCTAGGCATG